TCAATCCCCGGTTCTGCCAAAGGAAAAAAAAAAAAAAAAAAAAAAAAAAGAAGAATGTCTACATCTTTGAATACTTAGCTTTGTTATTTTTTGCAGTACTAGAGATCAAACTTGGGATCTTGCGCTTGCCACGCTGGTGCTTATGCCACCAAAAGTTATATCCCTGGTGCGCATCTATTTTTTCTTCTCTATTTCATAAAATTCTGATCTTTTTGCTACTTTCTTTTGAGAGCCTCATCTACTCAAGTCTTCAGCTACCTCTCAAAATTAGTTTCATTGTCTGGCCTTTTCAAGAAATGTATCTCACATTTTGTATGCAAATATTTCACTCCACCTGATTGGCCCATTAGTAATAAACATCATGCTTTCAAAAACAAACTCATAATCCTTTTTCTAGGTGCCCTCTTTAAAATAAGCCCTGGGGCTGGTGAGATGGCTCAGTGGTCTAAAGCACCTACTTAGAACAAGCTAAGCTAAGCAAAAGCACAGACCGTGGTTCAATCCCCAGCACCACATGCCAGCCAGCTCCGCCCCCTGGTGGGCTGAGCTGGCCACACACACACTAAAAATAAATAAATAAATAAATAAAGTTAAAAAAAAAAAAAAGTAAATAAAAAAAATAAAATAAGCCCTATGGGGGCCGGGGAGATGGCTCAGTGGGATAAGCGCTTGACTAGCAAGTGCAAGGATCTGAGTTCAATCCCCGGTTCCGCCAAAAAAAAAAAAAAAAAAAAGTTTAAAATAAGCCCTATGGGGGCCGGGGAGATGGCTCAGTGGGATAAGCGCTTGACTAGCAAGTGCAAGGATCTGAGTTCAATCCCCGGTTCCGCCAAAAAAAAAAAAAAAAAAAGTTTAAAATAAGCCCTATGCCATCTCAAAGTATGGTTTTAATTAAATTCTTGTTCTAAACCTATTTTGCCAGTTAGGACCAGTCAGTTGTCCTTGCTATTCTCACTCCTGTCCTCTCCCTTACAAAGAAACAGAGGGGTCTCCTGTTTCTCCTTCCCACCCACAAATCATTTCCCGTGCTACCTTCAGACAAGTCTGCGACCCCACTGTCCTCACTATGTCACCACTGTGCTCCCATCCGAACACCTAATAACCTACTACTACCTTACTATAAGTTCATACCCTTTAACTATAGCCAAGCTGGATTTCTTATTGAACCCTACTGAACTACTTTCATTTGTGTAATTCTTTAGTCTGGGTTGCTATATCTTTATTATCTCTATCAAAAATTTAAGGGGCCGAGGAGATGGCTCAGCAGAATAAGCGCTTGCCTGGCAAACGCAAGGGTCTGAGTTCAATCCCCGGTTCTGCCAAAGGAAAAAAAAAAAGTTTAAACCAGGAGGGCCGGCCAAATATCTTAGTGGATTAAAGTACCTGCAAGCAGGTGCAGGGGCCAGGGGTTCAATCCCAGGCCCAGGGCTTGCTGAGAAGGCGTGGTGGCACGTGCCTGTAATCCCAGCACTTGGGAGGCTGTAAACAGAGGAGAATCACTATGGGTCTAATCTAGCAGTGAGACCCTGAACACCCTGTATACCCTTCCCTATAATACAAAAAAAATAAAAAATTTAAGCCAGGCATGTTGATGCACACCTGTAATCCCAGCGCTTGGAAGGCTGAGACAGGAGGATTACTGCAAATTTGACCAGCCTGTGCTACAAAGTGAGCTCAAGGCCAGATTAACTTATCACATGACCTTAATAAAAAAAAAAAAAATTAAGCCAACTGAGATGACTAGTCATTTGCATCCTCCTAAATCCTGTTCCTTGACCTATACATCAACCCAAATAAAATATGCACAAAAAAAGTAATAATATTAAAGCCATAAGACTGCTATAAAAGGGCCATCAAGACAGGTCAGTGTACTAAGCACCTGATTAGGCGAGTGCAGCGACCAGGCATGCCTGGCACCACATGCCACACCAGCCCTGCCCCCGGGCATGCTGAGCCAGTCAGTGAGATGGGATGCAGCGACACATGTCTTACAATCCCAGCACTGGGGAGGCTGAAAACAGGAGGATCA